GGCACGACCACCTCCCCATTCCCCTCTAAACGCCAACTATGGCACTATCTGAGGGCAAACTGGCAATCCTTGCGAGAATTCTTCTTCCACTTTCTTTGGGATGAATGCTGCTTTTCCACTCAGGATGCCTCGGTATGTTCTGACAGCATTGCTGGGGCTATACAGGGTGGTATGAGTGCATTTATCCCATCTTCTACCAAAACTTTCACTTTACAATCATTGATTGATAACTCCTGTTCTCATCCATGTAGGGAGAGAGAGAGGGCATATCAAGTTATGAAACTTCTCCTATTACCCACTCCTCTTTCATTACTTCTAGGAATCTTTGTAAGGCTATTCTTCGTAGGGCCGAGCGGAATTTTATAAAAAGAAAGACCGCTGTCCAAACTAACTCTTCTTCTAGTAAATCCTTCTGGTCCTTAATCAAAAACATATGTAATAACTTCTGCACTCCCACTTTTCCTCCTCTCTTCTGACCTGATAACCCAGTAGCCAACTCTCCCCCCGATAAAGCCAATCTCTTTGGCACCTTACAGTATTCTCCTCTAACTCCACCTTCGACAATTCCAACTCTATCCCTCCTACTCCTGCTCCTCATACTGAACCTATGCACTTTCCTATAATCTCCACTCGTAGGGTTGCTGGTGTGTTATCCAGGTTGAAAGTGAGTAAGGCGCATGGACCGGACGGAATACTCCCTCGTGTTCTGAGGGAGTGTGCTGAAGTTCTGGCCCCTTTGCTTGCTCGCCTCTTTCACCTTTGCCTTAGAACCCAAACTTTTCCTTCTTCTTGGAAGCATGCCTCGGTTCAGCCCATCCCGAAGAAGGGTGATCATTCCACTCCCCCTAACTTTAGCCCCATTGCCCTAACTTCATCCCTCTTTTAAGATTTTCGAAACTACTGTACAGTCAACCCTCACTTTAAGCGGTTAATACAGCCCACAGGGTACCGCGGAAAGTGAGAAACGCGTAAACTGAACAACATAACATATGGGATGAATTGAAATAGAGACCGGGCCGACCCCCAAACTCCACTTTTTGACGACACAACTATGTTGTAGTAAAAATTTTATCTTAACTTTATGATGGTATGCACACACAATTAATATAGAAGAGGTTAGGTTAGGAAAAATAAAGGTTAAGTTAGGAAAAATAAAGGTTAGGTTAGGAAAAATAAAAGTTAGGTTTAACACTTACGTTAGTAGAAGAGATGGTTCGGCATACAGGGATGGAGGCTGGTTCCGAGGCAGAGGGCAGGCTACTGGGCCTCAGGTGAGTCACCATCACTGTCATCCACACTTGTCAGGGCCTCCCTGACAAATCCCTCAAAGTCATCTTCACTGTCTTCACTGTCACTATCACTGGCTTGGGCTGGCTGTGGTGGGTTGCGGGCGAAGAACTCAGGTTATGCTTTGCTGACGGCTGGTATTTATGTTGTCGTGATAAACCTTGAAGTAAGGCTCCATAGTCTGCAACGGCTGGGTAGTGAAGATTTCATACCTGTTTGCGTCAGGGTTGTCGGAAAGGAGGAGCTTGACTTTCTCGATACACTCGATGGCACCCCTAACATTACTATGGGATAAGCGGTGTTCTTCTTGGGATGACGCACCACCGGCCTCTTCACTGACGTCATCATCATCTACCATCTCGTCGGTAGTCACATCAGGATCCCTTATCACCTCCAGGATGTTGGTGGTCTCGGAGAAGCCTGCAGCTGAAACACTGCGCAGCTTCTCTGGCAAGGTCCACTGCTACTGCAATAGTCTAAACCTCACCAGTCACAGATTGACTCTGCCTAACGGCCGGAATGCCTTGCAACACATGTCTCCATGCGTGACGAACAGTTGCTACAGACAGCTGATCCCATACCTCCACCAAGAAGTCCACAGCTTTCTTGATGTTGAATATTCTCCATAATTGTTTGAAAAGTATTTTTTGCTCTGCCAACTGTTGATCCTCGTCGTCTTCGCTCTTGCTATCGGTGGTGGTGTCACTCAGGTTATGCAACTCTTCCCTGGTGTTGGTGTAGTCGTTCAGGAGCTTGAATTTTTTCGTAGAGAATGCAGCTTTTACATTACAGATTAACTCTTGGTCCATGGGCTGTAATATAGACGTAGTGTTGGGAGGAAGGAAGACTACTTTTACGTTGGGGTGACGATCTAACCGTAGGGGCGAGTGTCCTGGTGCGTTTTCCAGCAGCAACAAAATCTTGAATGGCACATTCTGTTGCTCACAGAATTTCTTTACATCGGGAACGAAACAGTCATCAAACCAGGAGAGGGACAGTGTAGAGAACATCCACGCCTTACGTGCGGTCAGCCAGTGGACATTTAGCTTGGTCATGTCCATGCTCTTGTAGGCGTGCGGCTTGCGGGCTGTGTGGATCACCGATAACTTGAGCTTACAGGTACCAGAGGCATTGGTGGTAAACAGGACGGTGATGCGCTCCTTCTGCAACTTCCGGCCCCGATACTTGCTGGCATTCTTTACAACGAAGGACTTGGAAGGTAGCTTTTTCCAAAAAAGACCAGATTCGTCCATGTTGAACACCTGGTCGTCGGTGTACGTCCTTTGTCCATAATCTCACGTAAAAACGGAGGAAATTCCCTAGCCGCAACACGGTCAGCACTAGCTTCTTCACCACCAATGTTGATATTGGTGATCTTGTTCCGCATCTTAAACCTCTGTAACCACCCAGAGGAAGCATTAAAGGGTTTGGGCTCTGTAATTCCCATCTTTCGTGACACTGCAGCATACAGTTCACGTGCGTACTCCTTAACAGAGCGCATGTCCACCGCCATGTTCCGTCGCGCCTGACGCACCAAGTAGCTCACAAGTAATTTTTCCGTCTTGAGAAGCACCTTGTTGTGAAAATACTTGATCATAGAAGCACCTGTAGACTTTGTGATCTTCATGTGCTACTTTATGTTGGCTGCATCCTTCTTTATCGTCCGGATCGTAGATTTGTTCACACCATGCTGGCGCGCCAAATCAACCTGTCTTGTTCCTTTCTCTAACTCTTGGATGATCTTGTACTTCACCTCGTAGCTTAAGGAACGTCGTGTCTTCTTGGGCTTAGGGCGGCTGGGTCCAGGCAAGGGGGCGGTGGTCCAGCGGAAGCCATTTTACAGAACAATGGATGCACGATTACACGGTGTGGCCTGGAGGGATGAAACTGCCGCGACTAGGTCAAGCGTCGTCTTTCCTCCCTCCCTCCCTCCCTCCCTCCCTCCCTCCCCCGGGTGGACACGTCATATTACTTTAAACCAATTACAGCTAGCAGCGGAGGGAGGTAGGGATGCATGGCCATTTACAGTCCGATACGTCATATGACGTCACTGATAACGCAACAAAGACATGCACTTCGCAACCTTACCGCGCGGCTTGCCCAGGTGGAGGCGGGAGCAGGCGGGAGGGGTGAATCTAAAAATAGCGTGGAGCCGGACACACTCCGCGTAAAGGGGTACACGCACCGCGGATGTGAGCATCCCGGGTTCCGGCAGGGTACCGTGTAAACGTGGAAACGTGGAATGTGGGACCGCGTAAAGTGAGGGTTGACTGTATCTTAAACTCTCATTTTCTCCATTACCTTGAACTCCATTATCTTTTGTCGGATCATCAGTATGGCTTTCGCCAGGCGAGATCTACTGGTGATCTGCTCTCCTACTGCACCCATCTTTGGTCATCCTCTCTTAGGGATTATGGGGAAACTTTCGCCATGGCCCTCGACATCTCCAAAGTATTTGACAGGGTATGGCACAAGTGTTTGCTTTCTAAACTTCTTTCATATGGTTTCTCTCCCACACTTTGTTCTCTAATGTCTAGCTTCCTTGAGAACCGATCTATGGTAGTTGATGTCGAGGAATCGATCTCTCACTCTTTCTCAACCAATGGTGCCCCACTGGGTTCTGTTCTTTCACCTATTCTTTTCCTTCTTTTATCAAGGATTTACTTCACACTATGACTAATTCTATCCATTCTTACGCTGATGATTCTACTCTTCTCTCTTCTTCACATTTTCGTTTCCCCCTAATTCTCAAACTAGATCTGTTTTTAGAGCTGATATAATTACATCTATCTGTGCAGCTTCTCCGAATGGGGAGGTAGAAACTTGGTTAAATTCAATAATAATAAAACTCAGTAATTACCAGTTACACTTTCCAAATTATATGATCTCCCAGCAATCACATTTCAGGATGCAATCATTCTGCCAAATTCTAAAATAGATATGCTAGGCCTCACCATTTCCTCTTATATGTCATGGAAGTCACACATCCTCAACATTGCTAAAGCTGCCTCCCAAAAGCTTGGAATGCTGTACAGATGCCGTAGCTACTTCACTCCTGAGTAGTTGCTTCAAGTTTATAAAGGCTTCATCTGTCCTAACTTGGAGTACTGCTCTCATATCTGGGTGGCTTTCCTTCTGTCCAACTGTTAGGTAGGGTGGAATGAAAGGCATTTTGTCATTTTAACTCTCCTCCTTTAGTTGAATATCTTTCTTCCCTCTCTCTTCTCCGCAATGTTGCTTCACTCTCTCTCTTTACAGTTACTTTAACGGGCAGTGTTCGATGGATTTGACATCCTGCGTACCGCCGACAAGGCCTTGGGCTCGTAACACTATTCTTGCCCGCGGTGCCCACCGTTTCTATGTGAATGTCGATCACTTTAGAATAACCCATTATAGTACATTTTCTTTCCTCACACAATCAAACTGTGGAATGCTCTGCCTTCTTCTGTGTTTCCATAATTTTACAATCAGTCTCACTTAAAAAAGCTGGTTTTCCGGCATCTTCATGGTGTAGATTTTGACTTGTGCCCAGGTGTGTTAGTTCCCTGTAAAAAAAAAAACACATACAAAAAAAAAACGCTATTCTCTTCTTCGTATATCTTGCATTTTATACATCGTTCTTACTGTATTTTATTCCAGTGGTCATCATATTCTATATATATGTAGATTTCTTAATTTTTTTTTACATTTAGATTACACATTTAATATTTCAGCTTACAAGAACGTGCATTAAGTCCATCCTTGGTAGGCTACCCTCCAGTAACATCTGTGGCCACACCTCCTGCAGCAATGGGCACCCAAGTCCCACCACAAGGAGTAACAGTACCATCAGTTGCAGGTCCTGGGCCATCCCCTAATCCTTTGGGCCCTGTGGCAGCAACTCCTTCTCCAGGACCTGTGTCAGTGGGGTCTCCTGCCCCTCCCCAGGCTGGCCAAGCTCAAGTAAGGGTGTGTTTACATATACATATGTACAGTATACATGTGTGTGTGTGTGTGTGTGTGTGTGTGTGTTTGTAATTATAATAATAATAATAATAATTAACGGTTTATTGAAAGAGCTTGGGAGCCAGAAGGCTGAAAATATACAGTTACATATCTGGGGAATGAGTTTCGAATTACAAATAATATACAAATAACATAAGTGATATAAATAAGATATATAATAACTAGATGGGGAAAAGCTCAAACTACAGGGCATTTCAACATAGTGACAGTGCAAGAAGTAGTATTTACTGGGAGTGAATTCACTGGTTTATTACAAGTTATTGATAATTTTTACAATGGTTGGGACTGGGCTGTTCTTATAGCAATCAGTTCGTGCACGTATGGGCTGGATGCGGTTGTGGTGTCGAACAGCTATTCTCGGGCTAGGGATCTCAGGTGGTAGTAGGAGCCGGTGTCGAGGATGGTGTAGAAGCTCCTTGCCAAATTTGGAGATGAGGTCGTGGTGATGGTCAGTGAGAGTCGAAAGGGTCAGTGTGTTGAGCGCTTCTTGATATGTGGAGTAGGAAGGGGAGAGAATGATCTTGCATGCCCTCTTTTGCGAGAGAAAACGGACTCCTCAGATGGGGAACTCAAATAAAGAAAGCATAGCTACATGTTTTGTGGACTACAGTATTGAGCTTACCATTTTCATCACTTTGTAATAAACCTAGCCATGCCTGTGTGTGTTTCTGATACTTACCATAACATTATCTATATCTTTAGTGGGTCTAAATGGTCGTAAAATGGGAAAATTGGGGTTGGGTCTTGGGTGCCTGGAACCAATTAGAATAAATCCCATAAGTTCTGTACTTTCGTTATCGCGTTTTTCGTTATCAAGCACTCGGCGCAGTCCCAATTAGGCGTGATAAACAAGGGATGACTGTATAGAAACATTACAAAATTAAGATAATTTTGAGGCAGTTTCATTATACAGTATAGTCTTCATTTACGCGGTCAATTGAACCCGTGGAGGTCCGCGTAAAACAAGAAACGCGTAAACGAAATAACAGAACATATGGGATTAATTGAAATAGAGACTGGGCCGACCCCCAAACTACACTTTTTCCGACGCAATAGTACGTTGTAGTAAAAATAACATCTTAATTTTATGATGGTATGCACACACAATTAATATTTAAGAGAAATATCAATAATATTAGTTTTTTTAACACTTACTTTAGTAGAAAAGATGGCTCGGCACACAGGGATGGGGGGTTGGTTCCGAGGCAGAGGGCAGATTATTGGCCTTCACCTGTATCAATTGTATCACTATCACCACAGAGGCTTGCATGGCCTCTTTGTCAAACCCCTCAAAGTCCATATCCTCACTATCACTATCATTGACTTGGGCTGGCTGTGGTGGGTGATGGGTGAAGAACTCGGTAATGTTTTGTTGACTGGGCGACCTTGTGCGCACCCTGCCTGCGCCGCTTCCCGCGTAAATGATGGAATGAACCGTGTAAATAAAAATTGTCGGTCTGGCAAGGTGCCGCGTAAATGACCAAACGCGTAAACCAAATCCGCGTAAACCTAGACTATACTGTATTGGGGTAATTTTATAGTTTTGGCTAATTTGATTGATCCAGAATCCCAATGATATTTAATTAGCAAGAGTAGTTTAGCTTGTAGTGTGTTGCAAATTATAGCGTGGCCTGACATTTCAGTTTTACTAAAAGGAGATGTAAATTGAGGCTAAGTGACTATATAAGCATTGGGTGGCTGTTGTAATAAGAGAACAGACAGAGGAAAAAAACCTGTACTGCATAAGAAAATGTGTAAATGTGAGTAAAGTAGTTGAGAAAATAAGAGATGATGCTGTTTACTGAATTGTGTAAAGTGGTGTACAGTATTAGTATATTGTATCACCTTAATAAACATGTGTTTGTTTATGCAGTGAAGGAGTGACAGAAATATTGCTATTCCTGTATAATATGTACAGTAAGCCCTCGATAACTCGGCACAAATGGAGCTCTGGCCTTGCTGAGTTATCCCAAATTCCGTGTTTTCGAGGCACTTCCCCCCTCCTACAAAAATACAACAATAAAAATTATCAGCCCATTTATCTGCACATGTAATTACTAAATATAAAAAAGTAACACTTGCCAGCACTGCAGGCAAAGAATGAAGCATCATAGGTGAAACAGATACATGGTAGGTGACACAGAGGTATGGTAGGTGACACAGAGGTATGGTAGGTGATGCAGGTAGCCAGATATGCCGAGATTTTCCCAGATAATTTTACATATCTCGGAATTTCCCGAATTATACTAATACTTTCCGATACCATATCCATGCCAAGTTATATGAAATACCGAATTATCAAATGCCGAGTTATCGAGGGTTTACTGTATATTTGAATACGATAAATGGGGGTAAGTGTTGTGTAGAGAAACCAGAGAGATGGAGAATATTGGGAATTTTTGTTAGCCATTTGTTCTGGAAGAGGTTTCATTATAACTTCTACCTCACTTGCCCATCCATATATCAGGAAACAAAGTACAGAATTGAATTGTTTCTAAATCTGGAAAGTGATGTTGATACTCATTGTAAGAAAGAAGAACCTGGAGAATGTCCTTCATTTTCTTCAACTGGGATTATATGTTGCAGATGGTGAGAGCCGGTTCTGTAACCCAGGTGGTGGTTCATCCCACACCCAACACTCAGCCCATGAACATCCCCAACCAGCAGCCAGGTGAGTGGTATTTATCATCAGTGAAAATCATGTGTGTCAAATGACTTTATTCTTTCCTGTTCAGTGTTTACTGTTACTTCAACAGTATCAGTTGTTGTATACCAGGGATCCAAATCCCCTGAAAAATTGGGATCCTTTGTAAAAGATTTGAGTCTCATTAGAAGATAGAGGATTAAGGCGTTAACATATTCCAGAATTTGACAAAGAAAATGAGAGCTAAATGGCTTCATGATGAATTTATCAGTTGTATTAATATTACAGATGAAAAAGAACTTGGTTATATCCACCAGTAAAGTGTTTATTTAAATCAACGAGAAAGAGTTTACCTCTCAGAGGCATCTTATTCAAACATTCATACCATATTAACTATGAATTATCATTTTGTTTGGCCCATAAAAGGCTTCACACTTATTAACTTCGATTTTTTTTTAATCAAACTATAAACATCATACATTAAGTTTTCATTAATAACGTTTTTTGTAACGGGGTTTTCACTCTTAAATCTACGTGTGGGATAATATTTATTTTTTCCTCTGCAATTTTTTTTTTTAATGAAATCCTTATAAATTGGTGTCTGCCTGTATAGTATATGACATTTATAATTACAGTTTCATTTCTTATTATACTAACTTTTTCATTATGTCTTTTAATCATAGAATTGTAATATAAAGACTTTCCTTGTTTGATTTTGAAAATTATTGTTTCAGTTCCTCTTGTTCGAGGTCCAATGGCTGGAATGCCCAGAATGATTGCTCAGCCTCGACAACGGTGGCCTGGAGGTAAGATTTGCTAGGCACAGATGTTGAGTTTTTTTATGTGCTAGATATATTTTCTGGCTTGACACCACTGTCAGGCAGTTCCTGCTAATGCTCAAGCTGTTTTGGGGATCTAAGCATCACCCCTTAATAGGAGCTTTTGACTACAATCATTATCCATCACGAGGGGGTATTTTGACCGGTCCATGCGCCTTACTCACATCCAACCTGAGTAACACACCGGCAACCCTGCGAGTGGATATTATAGGAAAGTGTATAGGTTCAGTAGGAGATGCAGGGGTAGGAGGGATAGAGTGGGAATTGTCTAAGGTGGTATTAGAGGAGAATAAGGTGCCAAAGAGGTTGGCTTTGTCAGGGGGAGAGTTGGCTATAGAGTTATCGGGTTGGAAGTGGGGAGGAAAAGAAGGAGTGCAGAAGTTGTTACAGACATTTTTAGTTAAGGACCAAAAGGATTTACTAGAGGAAGAATTAGTCAGGACAGCCGTCTCTCTTTTAATAAAATTCCGCTTGGCCCTACGAAGAATAGCCTTACAACGATTCCTAGAAGTAATGAAAGAGGTGTGGGAAATAGGAAGAGATAGTTTCATAGCTCGATATGCCCTATCTCTCTCCCTGCAAGCAAAAGAGCAGGAGCGATCAAACCATGATTGTAATGTGAAAGTTTTGGTAGAAGTTGGGATAAATGTACTCGTACCGCCCTGTATAACCCCAGTAATGCTGTCAGCACGTACCGAGGAGTCCCGAGTGGAAAAGCAACATTCATCCCAAGGAAAGTCGGTGAATAATTCTCACAAGGATTGCCAGTTTGCCCTCCGATAGTGCCATAGTGGAAACACCCTGTCATGTGCTCTGAACAAGAACCCTCACAGCTATGTAATTAACCCACATTTAGATAATACTACTGTCAATGAGACAGGGGCTAATACACTTATCTGCCTTCATCTGGGAGCCAGGACTCAATGATGGCTGCTATGTAGATGTTATATCTCTCCAGCTCTTTTGCCACAAGGGCAGTTCTTTTTTCAGGATGTGCATTTGTACCAGTATCCAGAAGGGTCCTGAAATTCCATGCAGTGACCATAAGAGGTTGTATGGTTTGTTTTTGTTTGGATCTGTGTTTTTGATCGCATAAGGATGACCTTACTGGGTGCGGTTGCCCAGTCAAGTTGGGTTTTTAGGCAGGCTATGTTTAGGGCAATTTTTCTAGCCCCCTTCCCATGTGGGGTGAGCAGAGCAGCTCCCCGAAAGGGCTGCTGAGTTGCACAGACAGGACCTGATTGCACTGCTACCTAGATCCCAGTGCATAAACGACCATCTTATCTGTGCTGCCCATGTTCAGAGTTGTGACTAGAGACTCCCGGCAGTCATCTCTGCCTGTCCCCGTCGCCATAAGACTTTTGGGGGTATAGGGGTTTTGATGATGATGAGTGGTATGATGAACTGGGTGATGGTTGATTTATGTGGTGAGGCAGGAGCGTAGGCTGCAACCACACATCTTGGTTCTCCCTTTTCCTGACCCACTGGTGCAAGTGTTGCAACGACTGGGGAGAGGGAGAGTTGCAATGGAATGCTGATAGCCCAGTTTGTTGGGTTTCACCTTAGTAGCCTGTCCATCAGACATTGCCTTTGCCTGCCGGTGTAGTCGTTGGGTTTCCATGGTGGTCACCTCTTCCGCCTATACTGCTGTTGGGGTCATATTGGGGCTCTGTATGCATGTCTGCCTGATGCTGGGCTCTACCGTAGGTTTTTCGTTTGGGGTTTACTCCCGTAGCCTTATACCTACCATGGTTAATCCGCAAGGCAGCGGGGTGGTGGTTGGTAGGCGCCAGGACGTGTCTACACGCCAGTGGGCCTATGCACCGTCCCTCTGGGGTCCACTGCTACTCCAAGATCCCCTGCTCATCTAGCCTGGGCCCACGAGGCACCCAGTTACCTTGTGTTGCCACCAGGAGGCACAGCAAGAGTGTTGATGGTGATGAGGCTGTGTACTGGCAGGGGAAGACTTAATGCAAGTTGCTTCCCTGTTCGCCACGAGGGCTAGCCAGTGGTGGCAGCTGAAAGCGAGGGGGAGCAAGAAGTCTCTCTCTCACACACACACACACACACACACACACACACACACACACAC